ATGACATGGTTTTGTAGAGAATTCAATAAGGAATCTCTTGGAAAAAAATTTGGATCGATAGGATAAAAGCCGGCGGAGTTATATTCAAAATACGGGAGTGCGTTTATTTATGCGCCACCCGTTATATAACAAAGTTTTATTTATACCTTCAGGTTGGTGTCTATACTATAACGGCCTTGAGTGTTGAACGTTACATCGATGTGACAGAGACAAATCGTCGATATAATGATCAAATGAAATTAATTATTGTTTTACTTTATATCGTTATATTATGGATATGTGCAATTTGTTTCCCATTACCAATGTCATCATCAATTTTTGTTAATAATCGAACAAGTTCTATTCGAAGTAATAATTATACAGGTCAAAATCGAACACGTTCAATAAAAACAACGACAATTGTTAGTGAATGTAAATCAACATGGACAAATGCTGATCAATCAAAATTTGTTAATATTAAATTTGTTTCCGCTTTTCTTCTACCATCATTTATTACTTGTACATTTTCATTTCGTCTTATTCTATTTTTACATCGATGGTCAAAACAAAAAACTTATCGTCGTACATCTTATTCAAATGCATTTCGTACTGTTAATGTTTATAAACGTCGTGCCACCACACTTGTACTGATTATTATTATCATTTTTTTTCTTTTATGGTCACCATTTTGGATTTTACAATTATATGATTCATTAAATACACATCCTACACGTTATATTCAAATATTAAATTTTCTTACACTTGTACTAGTATATGCTAATGGATTTTTAAATCCACTTTTATATTTAATATTGACACAAAATTTTCGTGAATATATGAAAAATATTAAATGGATTCGATTATTTCGTGTAAAGCAAGCAAGACAAAAATATACATTTATACTTGTAGAAAATGGATTACAACATACTCAAAGTGTTAGTATCTTAAAACAAAATACACCAAGTAAACAAGACTTTATTGAACAAAGTTCATTGTAATGAAATATAACCATTGTATTCTATTTTTTTTTTTTTTTTGTTTGTTGTTATTATTCGGAGTAATTTATAAACATACGTGATAAACAAAAAAAGAAAAAAATTTTTTAATAATTTAAAGAAAAGAAAAATGCTATGTGACAATAATATTAACATGAGATGATTAAATGTGTAAAAGAAATACTAGGAAACAATGACAATTATTTGTATACAAAAGATATATATTGAACAGTTGAACAAAACTAATTGAAAAAATCTCTAATTTTCTTTTTTATTATTTTTATATGAGTTTCAAAAATCAATCAGTCAATATCACTAATACAATGAATGTCTTTTCATTCTCTTTATTTGATATATTTCTTATATTTGAAAAAATAGTCTTGAATAAGAACAATTCCCAACACAAAGTCAATATTTTAGTAACTATATTCTTTTTCAGAATAATGTGTAAAGTGAATAGAGAGAGGATAGACAAATAAATGTTCATTAAATTTAGAATGATCTTTTTGGTTCACCCCCATATGAGATAATAAACTGAGCATACCCAAAAGAGATAATAAAATCTAGTTTTAAACAAGATAATAAACTCTGACGTTTAAATTGAGACAACAAATCTTAGTATTCCAAAAGAGATAATAAACATCAAATGCCCCAATTGAGATAACAAAATGAGATAAAATAGCGAATTCAAAAGAGATAATAAATTTTAATTAGAATAATAGAACAATTAAAACAACATATGTGACTTTTGCACACTGTGTATAATTA